AAAAACAGCCCTTACCTTTTTCTGGCTTCCGCATGGCTAAGGAACAGCGAAAGCTACAAAGGGTCATTATCTAAGCCTTCAAATATTGGGAAGACCACCTCTTAAGGCTGAGAGAACATAAAAGAGGTTGCTGAGTACAGAAAATTGCTCTTCTACAATGGAATAATGTAATTCTTCAGGGCTATGCTGGGTTCATGATCTTGGGTCATGAAGGCATGAGGTCTTCCATCAAGTGCTCAAACCCTCCAGAGACAAATGAGGCCACAACACCTCTCTTTCCTTCCTACATGTAACAGTTATTTAAAATACATTAAATTTTGCCTGTAGCCTAGAGATGCCCTTTTCCAACATGCTGAACTCAAGATTAAAAGCAACAAGGGGCTAGCAGCTTGGCTTCCTAACAATGCTCTTTGCAAAATATCACTCCCAATAAAGGGCTTAGGTGATAAGATTGATTGTCCTTCTGCAGTAGATGCCAAAAAGAACGATGTACAAAATTAAAGGGTAATTAAATTCTTGTCAGATTCCAGCTTGTGTGAGGTATTGTTAGCCACATGAAAGAATTATTCCCTCCAGCTTTGACTGCAGGCCAGAAAAGGGCATTTAAGATGTCATTTGTCTAAAGCCTGGGCACCTGCTAAAATTTAGAAAAAAACCTCAAAGGATCAAATATCCTTTATCCTCAAATATCTTGACTAAGGTATTCTGGCCTTCTCATCCACTATGCCTGCCTCTCTCAACTTTATGTCTTCAGATAGGGGTGTCTGCGGGGCAGGGGGGTCAAAAAAGTCATGCTGCATGTAGAAAAAGGTGGGGCTTTGCTCTCATGGTTGTAACCACCATCTTGACTTTTTTGACCACCCTCCCTGGGGGTACCCCTGCCTTCAGATTCTCCTTACCTAGAGTGAAGGGCAACAAACTGGAGAAGGCCGCTCCATATTGTTTACTTCTCAACAGCATTCTCTGTTACATTAAATCAGGGCATGTGAATTCTGGATCTTTGGGGTGCAACTGTTCTATGGGGTGGGAGGGCAAGTGTTATTTTCTGTTTGGGTGGGTGGCATTTAGCAACAAAAGCTATTTTAGCAGAGCGGGATGGACAGCCGGAGAGAATTGGAGCCTGAAAGCACATTGTTGCTTATGATGGGAACGTGCCTTTTCCTAACATATAGGCATAGCAAACGTGATACAGGTATGGGGGGCTCACCAATGAAGCCACGCGGGGATGGTGCCAGACTCGACATCATCATTAGACCTCATGGGTGGGGGCTCTTTGACCCTCCTGTTGATTCCAAAGTGGATTGGGGCCTCCGCATCGATACGTCTTGGGTCCTATGAAACCTGATCACCTCAGGATGGAAGCATCTTCAGCATCCCCAGGGTCTTAGCCCAGAGGCCCTGAGAGACTGTTCCCATAGTAGTGCTGTGCCAAGCATGGCTACTACATTTTCTCCATGACCAATCACATCTAACTGAGAGGGAAAGAAACTGCTTTCATGAAAATAAAAATTCAGAAATATTCGTGGATAGGCTGGGCAGCTTGTATACTTTCCTTAGTTACAAGACGGCAAAAAGTGTATGTGTGTTGGACCTCTGATTATTCTGGCATCGCTACTAGGGTTGCCTTCCTCAATATAACACCCTCAGATGTGGTGGTTTATATGGCAGGGTAGAATAGAGATTGTAGTCCGAACAGGGACAACTGCGGGATCAAAAAAGTCAAGATGATAGTTGTGATCACATGACTGAAGCCCCATTCCTTTTGCACATTTGTCAATATCACACATATGTAAATAGGGGCATGGCTGTGACCACCATCTTGACTTTTTTGACCCCCTATGGACAGTCCTGAATCCAACACATATAGGAGCACCAAATTCAGGAAAACGGTACTAGTTCATTAAAGTATTATCTTAGTGGCTATTTCTGAGAATGCAATTCCCTGTCCAGATCTCTGCAAATATGGGAATCTATCTATCTATCTATCTATCTATCTATCTATCTATCTATCTATCTATCTATCTATCTATCTATCTATCTATCTACCTACCTACCTACCTACCTACCTACCTACCTACCTACCTACCTACCTACCTACCATCTCTGCAAATATGGGAATACATGTCTCTCCCTCCCTAATGAAAAATCCACATGAAGGGAGGAGAAGAAACTCCTTTGGAAACAATTTGGGGGTAGCGCAAGTGTTATTTACTGATTCTACACTTTTCTACCCAACTACTATGAACAATGCCTGCCATAACAACGTAAAAGAGAAACCTTCATTTTCTTTTACTATTTTTGTGACATAATTTACTTTAGTTCAATTTATTAAACACTGTATTAATTATGTATTACTAGAGAAATTATTTTATCCTTATGTTGTATTGGGAACCGTTCTTCTGCACCCATTGATATACCCATTGCTAGATGCTGTCAAATCCTTTCCCTGACCAACCCAAACTTCGGGAAAAGAGGAAGAAGCTTCAAGGGGAATTCTTTAATGCCTGCAGGAATGATCCCAAAGAAAGAACTGACACCATTCATTGCTGCCCTCAAGCAGAGAGATACAGGCTTGGGAGTGGTAACTTCACCATAATCACCTCTGCAATGTGCATCCAGAAATTGACACAGAAGACTATTTTTCAGGCGGCTTGAAAAATGATTGGAATTTTTGTGGAGGTCACAAAGAGATTGCCATGAATTACAGTTAAGGTTGTAAGAATGGCCTGAGGTATTTTCTGAATCCATCCATACTTTTGTAACAGTGATATGCTTCATGTAAAGCTGCCTGTACTTGAATGTTCGGTGCTGTATCTGAACAAGAATTGGCAGGCAAGAAAAGACTTAGAGCTATTCATAACTTCAAGCGTATATGTCAGAATAAAGGGCAAGTCTCCAACCCATTCTTTCCAGCTCATTTTTTTTTTCCCCAGAATATTTTTTTTCCCCTCTAAAGCCTCCCCCAAGGTTAGGTTGGCAAAATGCAAGATGCCAGTTTGTGTATCAGTTCCACTTCTAAATGCACATCATAACCTATCATTATCACTTAAACAGAAATGCAATATATTTCCCAACAGTGAAAACCAGGAACTGAGATTTCTTGTATCTGCTGAAGTGCTAACAGTTCATATGCAACTCTGAGTCCTTGTTCTGTCTTATGTACCTTTCAACTGAACTAAACACGAATAGAAGAGAATACGTGTAGCTCAGGGTTGAACTGTGGCGTCTTTGGGGTTCTCTGAGCTTGGTTGTTTTCTTGCAAATGTTTCATTACCCGGTTAGGTAACATCATCAGTGCTAGAAGGGAGTGGGGTTTGCTCTCTGTTTATATACAGTGGCATGCCCTGCCAGTGTTGGTGGGGGTGGGGGGTTTGCTTTGTTTTATTTTTTCCTTCTGGTAGTTCCTTGATTAGGGTATTGTTTACTGCCAGTTGTATGTCTGGTGATAATCTTGGTGTTATCTCTGCTTATCTGGGTGATGATTGCTGGTGAGGAGATGTAGATGACACACTATTCAAAATCTAGACATTTTGTCTACATCACTACACACTATTCAAAAGAGACAATAAAAAGGAAAGCAAAAGATCAGAACATCTCACCAGCAATCATTGCCCAGATAAACAGAGATTAACACCAAGATTATCCCCAGAGATACAATCAAGCAGTAAATAATCCCCTAATCAAGGAACTACCAGAGGGAAAAAATAAAAGAAAGCAAAACCCCCACCCCCACCAACACTGGCAGGGCATGCCACAATATATAAACAGAGAGCAAACCTCATCCCATTCTAGCACTGAAGATGCTACCTAGCTAGGTAATGAAATGTTTGCAAGAAAACAACCAAGCTCAGAGAACCCCAAAGAATCCACAGACCTAGACACTTGTTCAAAAGATGGATGTCTCCAAAGTGAGCACTGACCTTTGTTCAGAGAGAAACTCTCTGCTGTAAATTAGGGAATCTCTAGGGTAGTTCCTCCTTTACCTGTAATAGCACATCCAGTAGAACTGGTTGATTCACCCTTTCTGTTTCCACAATTGCAAAGGGATGGTTCCTCACGGTTGTTGTGAGATATTAAAACATTATGACTAGCCATGTCGTGCTCCTTCAAATGCCAGGGCAATAAAAGTATAGGAGGGAGGGGGGTGAAAGAAGGAATCTCCAGCCTTGGAGACTATACTCAGGGTGTGAATCAAGGAAGCAAGAATCACACAGGCTTCAAGAAGGAGTTTGAATGGAAATATTAGGGTAAGGGAGAGAATCTTGGTGACTGTGAAAGGAACTGCTAGCTCTCTTTGATGAGGGAAAGTTTTGAATCTCTTCTTCCAGGGACTTCCAGGGTCTACAACCCAGATTGAGCTGCTCTTTATGAGATAAGGTACTAACAAACTCCTCTCCCATCTGTAGACTGTTTCTGTCCAGATTTCTTCCTGCCTCTTTTTCAGCCTCCCCCTCATCCCTGATGACGCCAGAGGACTACATTGTACCCAGGTTGCCCATGCACACATTTTCTGTCCAGATGCAGCTGACCCACTGTTGTTTTGCGTGACATGAAAAAGAATGGCAAAACAACTCAGGGAACTCATGGAAAATTTCATCTTTTCAGAGCAGAATTTGGATAGATGAAGGGATTTCTGGCTGCTGGTTGGGTGAGATGACTCTTCTGATTCACGTCTCACGGTGCAAATCTTATTTACTAAAACTTGAATGTATGTCTCAGTGTGTGTGTGTATGTGTAAGAGAGAGAGAACTGTGTAATAGCAACTGAAGTGTTCATGACCCACTTCCATGATCTGACAGTAATGTTTAATTCTTTTACAATGCAATATCACTTTCTTCTTTAAAATAAAAGCCCTTCTTTGCTTTCACCCTTAATAAAATATTTCTTTTTTTCCTTTTTCATATTTCTTGAATGTATGATAAATTCTCATTTTCTTTCCTGGCCTGTTTTAAAATACCTGTAGTTTAGTGAACAAAAAAGTTAGTTTCACTTTTACATACCCCTTTTGCATCAATCACACCAGGCTTTGAATTAAATTTCACTGTTTTTAAACGTGCTTTCTCTTTCCTTTCCACCCTGCATTGAGAGAGAGAGAGAGAAAGAAGAAAGGAAAACAGAAATATGTATGAAATGCATTATTATCATTATAGTTGTATAAATAATTATTAAATAATTTTATTCATTATTTCTATTGGTTACACCATTTATATCAAATTTTCTAGGTGTCACAACTCATCATTTAAAAACATAATAATACCCTTAGAAAAATCCAATATAAAATTACCATGTCAGGATAAAAATTCAAATACTATGTAATGGGTATACCATTAGGAGATCTCAAAGGGCCAATCTGGAGATAGAACATCCTGCAGAAGATCTGTCTATATGGTCACTAACAGATGAAACCAACTTGATGGCACATAATCAACAAAAATTCAAATGCTAGGTAACATAATCAGCAAAAGCATATATAGCATGTCATTGAAATGTCAACTTATGTCAATGTCATATTAAATGCATGAGCTAATATGCTAATATGCTCATCTCCCTTCTGCTCCTTGGATGTGACTGCAAGGAGACTAGAAAGATCCATTTCCATTTTTAGTTTTCTGCATGATCAGTCCCACCATTGGACAAAGTGCGTTTCCAACAGGACCAATCTTATCATTGGACAAAATGAGATAATCAGGTGGCAGATGTTGAAAGATGCTAGCAAAGTGTTTGAAGTCAGAGTGGTGTCAATTAGTATGCCCAGACCAAACTTTGTTATTCAGGTTACTGCCCTTTGGGTACAGAGGAAGATGTATGTATGTATGTATGTATGTATGTATGTATGTATGTATCTATCTATCTATCTATCTATCTATCTATCTATCTATCTATCTATCTATCTATCTATCTATCTATTAAATTTGTATGCCACCCATCTCCCTCAGCAGAAGATAATGTCCCATTGTCTCTGCTGAAGACAAATTTGACTTGCTGTCCAGACAGCTTTATATATGGAACCAGTGTAGGCCCCATCTAGTTTTTCACTGCAGCAGGAAAATGTGTTGGACTAGATTTGTATAATAATAATAATAATAATAATAATAATAATAATAA